GGTATTAAGCTGGCAACTATAATTCAGTCGACGGTAGAAACGCATGTCACCACCACCACCACCACTATCAGGACCACCACTATAACAGTTTTCTTCGAGTTACGTGATAAACTGCACCAACGACAATATTTTACCGGTGATACTTCGAATTTATTTCGCTCTTCGAACTACCACAGAACTATGGCGGACCACCCACCCTGTTTTGTACGATTTCCTTCTATTGTGTATCAAGAGAGAAAGAGAAACACACGGTGCAGAATATTAAGTAAATTTTCTATATCTCTATCACTTCCTATCTCTTCCCTCTTTCTCTCTTCGAGATTCCAGAAAATTTATGAACAGAAGTAATAACCTAAAGTTTATTCAAGATTGTTAAGAATCACTTATTTGAATTCCTGTTAACCAAGCAACCACCCCACTCTGAATTTACATACTCACTCTTCGAAAAATATATCTTTTCTTTTCTTTTATTATTTTCTTTTTCTTCTCAACTCTTTTCGTTTATACTCCTCCCTTTACTACTATCCTCTTTATTTTTCTTCCTTACGAGGGTTAACGTACAGTCAAAACGTTTGAAGGATTGAAAAGAATGTTGAATTAAAGCACGCTTTTATTACACCTACGTACTTTTAAAACTTCTTTCACACGAGTATATACGTACGAGATAGGAGTATGATACTGAATTTGCATGTACACCCAATGGAAACGTTCACACGACAATTCTCTTGAGATACTGTTAAATGTGATGATACTGATCTCGTGAATCCAAGTAACCTTGGCTGTTTGCGATATTTTTTCTTCAATCAAAACGTTGAATCTAATTTACATGGGAACTCAGAGTTCACCAATAATCCAATTTTTCGAGTTTAGAATATACAAAATCTTACACACAGAGAAAGTAAAGTTATTAATTTTTTTTTTTATAGATGGTTAAGTAAAGAACAAATGAAGACTCCAAAATTTCAAACTTGGATGTACATATCATATACGTATCCATATAACAATACAGAGAGTAAATCAATAAGAAATATTATTTAGAATACCACCTATTTTTTAATAACACGTTCATGCTGATGGATAAAAAAATTCAATAACATATAATATAATAAATTTGAAATAATTCTCAATAAGATATAAATATGAAATAAAAAATCAAATTGTATGCATTCTCAATGTATTTTTTTAAATTTATTAAAATATTTGTCATTAAATAAATTTATTAATACATTTTTAGATGAATCACACACACACACACACACACATTTAATATTATTAATTAATTTCTTTTTATATCATTAATGTTGTCATTGTATACTATGTTACATGTATCTGATATTTGTATTTCTATGTGAAACCAGCCTTATATTTTATTATAATAGATCACGTGAATGTAAGAACAGATTGATGGTCTCGTTCCGTTTAGAGCTTTAATTTAAACGTTTACCTACGATAACAAACTTTTGACCACAAACTTTATGAAACTAGGACAAGCTCTGGGGAAGCTTCTCTTCCATAAAAGCTGGACGTTTAAATAGACGAATATAATCGCGATGGAACTCGAAATGTTCCTCGAACATTCTCCAATGCAATACCTAAATGTTTAATAAACTATTCTTATAATTCGATAAAATAATTTCCTTTGTTCGATATTTGAACAATTTATGAATATATTGCGTAGATTATAAAATATTTGTAAAAATATTTTCATACTTATATTTTTTTTACTATAGTTAATTAAAGGGATAATTATTGGAAAAATAAATTAAACATCGGGCACAGAAAACGATTTTCAAAAGATTTTAAAAATTTGTATAAATTTTGCATTAAAATACGAAGAAACTTTTTCCCCGAGAGAATATTAATCGTCGCGAACATTAAGGTATAAGGGGATTGATTATTATATTGCAAATATACTTTTCTTACGTAACATCTGTGATATTCTCTCAATTTTAATTGAATCAACGACAGCTGCTGTCGATATCGAAAAAGTGTCTACGAGACCGAGTAACCGCGGGCTATTCAAACGGATTTAACAAAGAGTTACGTTTCTATATCGGTATTGGATGGTTATTCGAGCGTACTCGTTTATAATATGTGTATATGTGTGTTATTTTACGTATCTGAAGATATTTTTTTTATGTCTGTATGTAGGTGCGTATATACATATATATATATATATATATATATATCGAACAGTAGCGTTCCATTTTCAAACGGCACGCTTAAAGCTCAATTATTTGTTAATGCTCTCGAATGAAATTACTTTTAATCGAGAGCCCTGTATATTTTCACTTAATTATCCTATGGCCATTAGCGAGAACATTTTAACTCGTTACTACACGCCAGCTAAAGAGGATACACGATATATTTGATAATAAATCGTTACGTTACGTTGCGTTCCGTTTTCGTTTCGTTTCGTTTCGTTTAGTTTAGTTTCGTTCATTCGTTCATTAAATGATAATATCTCTTCGATCGAAACGAGAAATTACAATTAAATCTGTTTAGAGACCTAATGAAAATAATAGATCATTTATAGAAATGATTTTGCGATGAGTTAATCTAAAGAGAGAGAGAGAAAGAGAGATATCTATATAGAGACGAATTAACATTTAGTCGAATTATCTAAATTATTATTTCAATGTGCATATGAATGTAGAGAAAGTTCATACGAAATGTGAATGTCAAACAGTTCAAACTAAATCTCTTCAATACATACAAAACGTATATATGCATTTATATGCGTGTACATAAAATACCGAATGAAATTATTTGAACAGAGTAAATTTTCCTATAATATTCTCTATATATGTTTCTGTGCAGAGAGAAAATGTGTATACGATTATTCAATTTATTTTTATTTATTAATATATCATTTAAATGTAAAATTTAAATAGATATATTGCAATATATGAAGTAGAAATTAGTGTACAATTAAAAAAAAAAAAAAAGAAAAAAGAAGTTTTTAATAATTAAAAATAGTTTTTAGCTGAAAATGAACTGAAATAAAATAAAATAAAGAATCTCAATTTGACCAAATAACAGTTATTAAAGAAAAATGTAATTTGTACCAATAACTTTTTTTTTTTATCCTGTACCCAATATACGAGCCCACATACGATACAAATATATACTTATGGTCTCGCAAAAAAAAAAAAAAAACAACTTATATCCAAAGAGGGGTAAAGATAAAAGAAGAAAAAGAAAAGAAGTACTTAAGTACTTACCTTGTAAGATGTCCGCGAAAATAAGGAGGAGGCATAGCAGGAGAGACAGTTTCCTGGAATCCCCAGCTTCCATGTTGCACGTTACTGTTGCCGTCTTCTTTCGTATTTATTTCTATCTATATATATACGTGTCTCTTTCTTTATATATTATGACAAAACTTTAGTTTCTTTTTCTTATCCGACCGTACACACACAAAAGCCCGATTTGATTAACACTTTATAACACACAGAGATATACACACACGAGAAAAAAAAATAATAAATAATAAACACAAAAAAGTCAAAGACTCGAAGAAAAAAATTAATTAGAACAACGACAATTTTATAATTAAATTAATGATTTTTATCTGGCTGTTTTAACGATTATCCAATCTGTTTCAAATAATTCCGCGTTATTTTTCGTTATTTGAAAAAGATTTATCAGCAGTCAAACGCTTTGTGCTTCCACCTTTGAAAACGCGCGATAAAGCACGCTTTCAAATATTTCGCGCGGGCTTCGCGCTTATATTCAAAAAAAAAAAAAAAACGTTCTATCGAGACCACGTTACCTATTCTTTTTTAAAACTTACTTATTTCAATACTATTATGTCCAGACTTGTCCATTATTCGTGTCTCATAAGAATAGAGAATTTTCTGCAAACGTTGACAAAATTATCGTCCATCTTGTTTTATCAATATTCAAATTTGTTCAATTACGCGCCGAGATTCGAATCATTTGAGAAGAAAATATATCTCTGAAAACGTTTCCAATCACGATTGACGATTGTCGTAAAAGATTAAAAAATTAAAACGTATTACTGTTTAATTCACTCGACGTACACAAAGTTGAATTAAATACGAAAGAATTTTCGAAAATTACGTTTCGGTTTTAAAGACGATCGAAATGATTTGTTCGCGTTTTCAATTAATTCATAAAATTCATTTTCTACGTTAAACAGATCATCACACAAATGTTACAACTATTATTCAATTGTTCGATTTTTTTTGTTAATAAAGATTCGAATGTTGTTATCACTAAATATCAGTATAACGCGTGCGACCTTTTTTATCTTCGTAAAAAATGAAAGAAAACCATCCGATCCACTTGCAACGATGTGCTGCACGAGACTGGCATCCCCTCCGTTGTGGTACTGCTCGATGGATTCAAGATGGCGCATCCAGTTCGCGCAGCTTCTCACCCTCTCTCTCACGCGTATTATATCCCTCTCTATCTTCTATCTTCTCCATCTCAACCAATAGAAATGCCTCTGTTCGTTACTTTCGATCCCTTCCTCTCTTCTTTAATGCTTCGCAACAAGTTGCAGTTGAATCGTGTAATGCACACGTTGATCTTTCATGTATTGTTCTAGTTCTTCCTACTTTGTTTTTATTTACATTTCTTTTTTCTTTTAATGCGATATAGAGTATGTTTAAATATTTAAAATACTATATGCCGATTAATATGACAGTTTATAACTAACAATAAATCAAAAAATGAATCTTATGGTTTATTATTTAACACGTTGAACGTCACGCGAATTCTTAAGGAAATCTCAGTCATGCCATGCGCGTTATTTAGTATTAAAGAAATAGTAATATTATTAAATATAAACATTTTTTTTCATTTTTTGACTTATTGTTACTGTCATGATTAATATCACATATATCAACAATTATTTTCAATGATACCGTAATCTTTTTTTTTCTCTATCAAAAGATCTAAGTTTATCTTCATTTATATGTGAGTACATCTATATAGATCAAAATTATACTGCTAAAAAGACGACATGTTATTAATTATCTTCTTCGTTTTCCTGGATCCTCGGATACTGTGCTCGAAGCATCGGAACTGTAGCAAACACTTTGCTAAAAATAATAAACGAAAAGATAAAAAATAAAATGCAATAACTATTTTTCAAATCTCCTCTTCACTCGCACACTCATACACACGTACATCTTACGTTTATATTAAAAAATATTTACGATGCTTACCCTGAATATTGTTCGTTCTACCGGAGAACTCGAAGGGGATGCTGAAGTTGATTTCACGTACTTTTTCCTCCTTTAACAAATAAAAACGTATCTCTAAATAGAATTTTGAAAAATATTGAATTGATGCATAAATAATTACGATTTTTATTATTTTTAATTTGGCATTAATTTTATCTAATTACTATCATGTAATAAACCATTGCAAAGGGTGCATTTGACAATACTAAGTTTCTATTATCTAGTATTGTAGGATTTTAATTCTTAAATTAATCCTTAAAAAAAACACACACAATTTTATACAATTTTATTGTATAAGTTTAAATTAAGAGTTAAGAAAGAATAAACTGTTGAAAATATAAATCTTGATTTTAAACAAACAGCTGACAAGTAAAAAAATTGCGCGATAGAAATGAAAAAAGCCTTGATTTATTGGCAATAATTAAAGATTCATTACTTAACCAAATTCACAACTGAAGAAATTACAGTATAACATATTATTGATCATTCAACAATATAACTCGACATTTAAAGTATAATACTTTTTGAAACTCGCTATTAAAAAAGCATAATTATGTTTGCACCAACCCAATAGGAAATGTTTGTATAACTTTGTTTGTTTGTTTGTTTTTATTATTCATCTTACTGGCAAACTCTGCTTCCAGGTATTGTGTCTTTACTGCTGTAACTAATAGCAGCTAAACAACGTTCCTCGTCGTATCGATCCTGACAGCCTCCAGGACATCGTCCGAACTTGTTTTTGTACCATTCCTTTAGCTTTTCTATCGGTCCCTTCGGGACGATCGTTTTCGAGGTGCGCCTTTCACCCTTAGAATAATCTGTATTTTTGTATAACACTGCGACACTAGAAAAATAATCGTATTAAAAGGATTATTCTTGCGCTTAGTTTACAATATTAATGTAAGAAATAAATTTACGGTGTGTTCGGTGATTCACACGGCGAACATTCCTCCGAGTGTCTACTGAGATATCTGTAGCAAACTAAACTCAAACCAACCAACAACCAAACCAATAACGCGCTCACTACTGCGATTATAATCAATTCGGTAGTTCCAAACATTATAGCTTCACTATCTAAACATGAAAATAAATGATTAGATACTGTATATCAACAATTTGATTTAATTACTAATCTTTACCTTTATAAAGGGGTGATACATCATCGATTGGCACGCTATTAAGTTCGACCTCCATTCTTGGCAATACTCCATTAAAACTACTTTTCATTTTCTTATTTCTTTCATTACCTCAAGAAAAAAAAACCCACAAATCTGTTCTTTTACGATATAACAGGTAACCAAGTAAGTTCGTGCCGTTTCTAAGCTTGTATATCGTTTATTTTTATTGATTAAAACTGCACGAACTTTCTTGTTTATCTGATATATTCATAAAACCGAATGGAATTTTGTTTCTTTGTTTTTTTTTCAGGACTTCATTTTAGTGTACACATATACCTGTTTTTTCCAGAGTGAATATGATTCTAGAAACTCCGCCAAATGCTGGATACCATTTTTCATCGTTCAAACGTTCTTTTACCTATAACGTAACATAATATTTAATTCTCTTAATTTTCTCGATTGAAACGAAATAAAAAAAAATAAATAATAAAAAAAAAAAAAAATAATAAAACTCACAACGTACTGATTGCTGCAGCCAAGAGAAGAAGTTACTATTAAAATGATCCAACGCAGCTTTTGTTTTTGACCTCGATACAATACACTTCACGCTAGCCATGTAATATTTGACGAGAACGAATGCCGATCGCGCAGAATATAAAGACTGAAGACTGTTCGATTTGAATGGTACTGCGATACTGTTAAATATTATTCAATTATATTAATACGAGACGAAAAATATAAATAAAACATTAAGAATACATTTGAGGATTGAAATTTATAGATAAACCTGTTCGGTTCAGTTTCGTCATCCAAAAAAGGAATTGGAACGATCGCTGATTCATCGATATTGGAAACATCGTTGTATCCTTCAATTGAAGATTTCAAAAATTATTATTAATTATCCTTAATATTATGAAATGTTTAATAAATATACAAAATGTTTTGTAACTGATATACAAATACACAAATAGAATACAATAAATTATAAAACTTATTTTTCTCGAAAACAAAGCCTTACGTATACAAATTTTATTCTATATTTTTTATTTAGTTTTTCATGTACAAACATCCCCTGCTCGCTTGTACCAGCAGTTACAAGACACCCTGTATATATATATATTTGTATTTTTAAAGTTTTATTTTAACAATTAAAAAAAGTAAAACTAATCATTATAATATAAAAATACCTGCATGTAAAAATCTTCTCAATCTAATTCGAGAAACAAATCGTTTTATCTTTCTACGAGCGTGTCTTTTTTGTAAATGACGATTATTGTTAACGCCACGAATAGGAAAAGTAATTAATCCATTACAAGCTACGGAAGATTCCGATGGTGTCGTTATAATTAGCGACATTTTCGTAGGTTTAATTTCAGGACGAGGTTTTGACCAACCAAAACCATTCGTATGAAGAAAATCTTTTAATTCGTCGTAAAGCTCAAAAAGTTTTCTTGCGTTATGGTACTTGATATTTCCTGCATAATACGATTGTTTGGTAAGTGGTAATATATAAGCTCGCAAATAACCACCCATTACATCGGCCAGAGCTTTCAACATCAAGTGTTTCGATTTTCCTATTGAAAGCTTACGTACGGACTCGAAACAAATATGAAAATAATCCATTAACAAAGCTATGTACTGATCGTTCTGATAATCAATGATATTCACCTATAATGTCACAATAAATTTGATACGTAATAATCATCTTAAATAACATCGCGTTAAGAGTTGTTATGCAATGTTTAATGGATCAAAAAACAACTGTATTTCATGTATTCTCTCGAATTCAATAATTGCTGATAATTAATCAAAACTGCATAACAACTCAAATTCTCTTGTTATCTCATTATCATCATCACATATAATTTATACCTTAGGTAAAATATCTTGAAACATACGTCGACTATTCAAAATAGTAAATTCTTCGTTTGTCCAACAACGTTTCATGCAATCACCTCTCTCAAACAATACGGTACCAATGTTCTCGTTATTTCTCAAAACTTTGTTACCTGTTGTTCTACATTAATAATACAGGTACTATAATAAACAGGAGTATAATAAAGCAGCATTATTATATTTTTCGATTTTAATTCGAACATTATTGTTTTACATAATATTTTTTACATATACTTAATAATAATGCAAGTATGATAATATTCGTTAACAAGTTAACCATGATTGACGAATATACTCGTCATACAGAAAAAGTAATTACTATTTGCTATTTAATACTAGATTTACGGAAATTTTATTGATTGAATGATACGAATATATATTTGAAACTATTTCCCCCTCAGCATTCTAATTTTTAAATGTTGTATAATGTATACTACAAAATACGTATTTTTTTTTATTCATCAATTTCCTAGTTATTTCTTCCTTTACCCGTAAACCTACTGTTAAATTGCAATTTTAGTACAAACTAAAAGATATTCGTAAATTTCAAAATGTTAGGAATATTTGGAGACCCAGACAAAAAACAAAACAAAAACAATTAATAATTATTATAAAAATACTATATATATATATAATCTAACAAAGTAGAACAAATTTAGTCAACTAAACCTAACGCTACACATCTAATGGGAAAGATTATATACCAAGCACATCTTTAAGAAATAATCCTGCAAAAATGAAAAAATAAAGATATTAGTGTTCAACTTGCGAAGTGCCACCGTGTTTTGTACCTTTCTTTACTCAATATCATTCAACAACAGCAGATTCAATTTTCAATTAATCATTTTTCTAAGTGATTGATTTCTTACAATAAATGTTAATTGTAAAATTATTTATTTAAAAAGAAAAAAATAAAATTAGGATTTTTTATTACAACTTAAATCAATATTATAATAACTAACTACACATACTCTGTATTGGACGAGTATATTCGTCATCGTTTTATTTTGACGACACAATTAAAGTACACACTTTATAAAGAGATTACCACAACTAATTGGTTAATCTCACGTTTCCTATCTTTTGTAATTAATTTTTTGTTGTTGAAGACATTAGGTGATACGTTCTGAAATATAATTTAAACACATATACGAATTAGATACCTTTGTTTGTCAGAAGTTATACTTATTACAAGTATTAAAAGAAACCATAGAAAATGTGGTTTCATGCTCCGTACGAACAAATCTCGATTATCTATCCGTACAATTTTTTCTTTGTATTTTTTTGTCTAGCTTTTCAAACAAATGCTTTCCTCAAAAATCGTTTTATAACTTTATTTCAATCAATTTCTTTATCCCCTTCCGTCACGATTTTGTCGTCCATTTCTAACACGGCAAACTTCACATTTGAGATTAAAATCGAATAAACATTTTATAAAAAAAAAAAATATAATATTGTGATCTATATAGATATTATACCTATATTGCAAATTTGTTAGTTATTTCAAATCACAGTACATATCAATAATAAAACAAATACAACATAAAAATGAAACGAATATACAGTAATTCACGGAAGCATTTGAACACTTAGCAAAAAATATTGTATTAATTATAAGTATTTTATAAGACACTCATATCGGAAATGTTGTATAATGTACTTATAATAAATAAAATATTTCATGGTAAGTGTTCAAATACTTTTGTGAGTCACTGTAAATATCCATAAAAAAAAGAATATACTTCTGATGGCTTAATCATGATTTTTCTAATAAATAACTTAAGCCTAATCGTTTATAATAGTAATATTATAATTTCAAAATGCGTATATTACTTTCAAATTTTGTAAAAGTAAAAATGGAAAGATTAGGACGACTTCATTTTACATAAAAATCGTAAATGTAACATTTTGACTTCGTCGGTGTTCAACTTAACAACACCTTCCTGATTGTCTATTGAAAGTAAAGTTCCTACAGCTTCTCGTTCTTCTCCAACAATTACTTTTACTCGGTCTCCTCTTGAAGGTACTACAGGTTCCAATTGATCGCAAACCAAATTTACGACTCTGTCTTCCACGGGTAGAAACACAGCGCACATACCGGCCTAATTGATTAGAAATTATTTTAATAAATTAATTGGCGATAATAAATTTTATGAATGGGATAAAATTATTTGTAATACTCACAGAAATTCCTCTTATTATACCCTGCTGTCCTACTAATGCAGGATCCGGATGAGAATCTCGGATTCGTACTTCTATATCTGTTGTGTGCCATTCAGTATTATTAATCATTCCAGAACCAGATCCAGCATCTAAACCTGATCCTGGTGTTTGTGGATTATAAGGACTTCCTGCTACTCCTGTAATACAAATTAATATCATTTAATAAAACAGGATATTTTCTTTTATGAAATATTTGACCAAATCAAACACAATGTTTATTATTCTTCTTCAAAACAATATTATTATTTTTAGTAAGTTTTGACATAAAAAAGAATTCATTTTTAAAATATTTATATTTAAATGCGAAATAAATATTTTAACACGTTCTGTGTTAGGTTGATTTTCAGTGGCTTTCCGTTAAAGCGAAATACTTAAATAGAAAATAAAATGACATGCTGGATTCCTAATATTGAGTAAAATATGTATTGTCTTACCTGGTGTCATAGGACTGTAACCCATTGGTGAGGGAGTAGCGAATGCTCCATGAGGACTTGTAGTATATCCAGTTCCACTTGGTGATGGTGTAGCAACGTAACCTGCAGGACTTGGACTTGCAGTCGCACTACCAGCAGGACTAGGACTGGGTTGGTATGTACTAAAACTTTGCTCAGATCCATACATAGTACCTGGTGTTTGAGGAGTGAACGGGCCACCAGTAGAAGGATAACCAGATACGTATCCTGGCGAACCAGCTTCTTCCATGCCATAACCATCGAAGTCGTTTGTTCTCGCAGGTGTATTGGTGATTGTAGGATCCCAAGCACCTGACTGACCAGGTGTCCGTGAACCATCATGGGATGGAGTCATAGAGCCATAATGAGGTGTACGTGAACCATCTGTAATAGAAATGTAATCGATTATTTTTAATGGTTGATATTTATTGGTTAGTATTTTATAATAAAATAGTAATATCGATGATATATAATTGTAAATGACACTTACTTTCGTACATAGGTGTTTGAGATCCATGCATAGGAGTTTTCGAGCCATCTCTCGCATACATTGGTGTTTGTCCACCAGCCGTATATGCTGGTGTACGACTGTAACTGCTGAAACCACCATCTTTTGTTGGTACTCCAACGTTTGCTATGTGAGATCTATCCACAGATATTGTTTGACACGTAGAATGTAGTTCTACGCGTGCAGTATTTTCTGTAGCATCTTTAACTATGCCTACGTTTCCTTTATAAGGCCCACCAGTTATTTTTATTGTAGTTCCTATTAACTCCCTGTCTCTTCTTGTACCTCCACCGCGACCTCTACCTCTACCACCACCACCACCACCTCGGCCCATTCCACCCCTATTATAAAAATTATTTACATATTTATTATATTATATTATACATTATAAATATCAAATGAAATTAAAAGTATCGAAAAAAATCTTTTCATTTTTATTATAAAACTTAAAATTGAAATTATTTAAAAATGTAACAAATAAAAGATTTGATACCAACCCACTGGGATGCATCGGAGATGCAATTCTTGGTGACATAAAGCCTGAGATTGGTGACATAGATGTAACACCTGATTTATTTCCACCAGAAAGTTGTAAATGTCTTGTTTTACATACGAATATGCCTCCATTATCAACGAACATTCTTGAATGTAAAAATGCAAAACTTCTATAAAGATGTTTTATTTCTCCACCTCTTCCTGCGTGTGGTCCATCGACTACTTTAACAATGTCTTTTTTTTGTATTGGATTTTGTTGTGAATCTAACGCAACTGCGTTTCTATTCTCTCGACGTTTCGTTAATCCTTGTGGTCTTGCTTCGATTACTTTACCGTGCATGGAAAGAACATGGAAATTCTCACGTTCAAGACGAACTATAACGCCAACTGTTTGAGCATCAAGTTGAACTAAATCACCCCACTGAAACTGGCCTAAACTATCAACACCAGTTGCCATATCCGAGCATAATTGTAAATCTCTGGGAAGCACTTCCAATTCGTGCATTGATAAATCAGAGAACAAAACAATTCTGTTTGGTTCTACTCTAACAATCAAACCAGTGTCTCCTTCGTATCTTCCAGCAACTACCTGGTAAAATCAAACATTTGTTCGAATTGATCTTATAAAAAAAACAAACTTTAAACAAATACAACTACTATAATTATTATTGTTACTGTTAATACTTATAACTGCCATCCTTATAATATTAATTATTATAAATTATATTTTGTACTATATAAAAACTAAAACTTATACTTACTTTAACATGATCACCCATAACAAAATATTTCCTTAACTCGCATGATCGGAATTCTAAAGCATCTTTCAGTTCTTCATGTTTTGGCATAACCATTATTAGATTTCCATCTATTGAGACTATTTTGCCTTGCAAATTTATCAATTCACCCTCACATACTTCTACGTTATCACCATTGCTGAAGGAATGTGTTACCGCTTGATCTTCTTTTCCAGCAGGTGTTCCTGTTGCTGGAGCTCCACTTAAATCTATTTCAACACCTTCTGGTGCTTCTTCAAATCTCTCTAATTCTGAAAGAGACGGTTTAACTCCTTCTGCTACAATAGCACTTGTCGTGAAATTTTTATACAAAAATCTGAAAACATAATCAAAATTTTGGATATAAGAAAATATAATATTAGAAATTAATAGAATAATTAAACAATGCACAATATATAACGCATATAACACACTAGAAATACGCACAAATGCATATGCATTATATTAAATATATTTACCCTTTTCGACTATATCTGTTCCCTTCAAAAATTAAGAAATCTCCATCGCTAGTAACTTCACCTCCAATAGCTCGAATTGCTTCAGGATTAAATGGTTTCGCAGGTGGTCTTCTCTTTTTCTTTCTTTTCAAAGCTTCTGATTCACTTTGAGCTGTTCTCAATGCACCACGAGGCCGAGTATAATCTATTCTTGGTAATAATTTTAAGTGCACTTGATTTTGCGCCAAATCAACGTAATCTACTTGTGCTATGTCATCCTTATAAATGCCTCTTTTTAATCGGACCCACTGTTTAGCCTTTAATCCTGTCTGTTCTTTAACGACTCTTAATACATCAGTCATTTCTTTAATCGGCACCATCTGTTGTTTCCATATTCCCATTCTTAAATTACCTACATTTTCTATGGCAGCTTTTATGTGAGGTTGTTTATATGCTTCTATATAAATATAACCTTTTACGCCTTCCGGTACAACAACTGATTTAATTTGAAGCGGTTCCCCTACAAGAAAAAATGTCAATCAAATAATTAATTCGAATATTTATTTTATTAATTCAAATTAAAATGAAATGGAAAACATGTAATACCAGAAAATTGATATGTAATAAACTTTCGCATCAATAAAAGCGCTGTTGCTTTTTCTTCTCCAATACGACATTTGACCATCCAAAGATTAGGATCTTTAACTCCAGGAAGTAAAGTTTGTTGAGTTATTTCATCGCTCATTTCTTCACCACCATCACCGAAGTGACGAGCAGCTGCAGATTCATCTGCGTACTTTTTCCTCAAATATTCTTCTATTTCATCTTCTTTCTGAGAGCTGATAAAAATTATTTTAAATGAAAAATGAGTGTTAATTATAAGACATATAGTGTTGTCCCGGGATCCGGAAGTGACAATTATAAAACATATGGTTCTGTTACCCCCCCCCCCCCAGACGAGCCTCTAAAAAGTGTAAAGTCCAGATCTCTCTGTAGCTTCACCCAAAAACAATCAGGTCGCCTGGGAATGGCCTTCTTACCTTTTTTTCCCAGAAAAACTCAGGCCAGCTAGCAACAAGATGTTATAATTTCTAATATGTTAAATATTAAAACTTACTCCCAAAGATTAGTGCCTCTACGTCTTCCTTCAATTTCTCTCGCAGTAGGTCCTAATTCATCCACTTCATTCCCTACGATACCAATTTCTTGAGCTCCTTCCTCCCATTCTTCGTCATCTTCAACTTCATCATCTACTTCAGCTTCATCAATGATAAATCCACCAAATCTATCTTTTTTCTTTTTCTTTCTAGGCCTATCATCATCTTCTTCTTCTTCTTCATCGTATTCGCTACTGCCATCCAGATCTTCACCTATAATCATAGAAAACTTCTATAGATTTCATTCACTAGATGATATACAGTGTGAACCATTAAATTGATGATCAGTTCAGATTATTCTGTTGTTAATAGATCAATGAAAAATTATTTTATATAGTTTAACATGGCTCAATAAAGATAATTATGAAATTTTTTCGTTAATTCTTTTTTAATTCAATTTTCTTACTATATTAAAAAGCTGAAGATAGATTTTAAAAATTTTGTATCGATAAGGGTTAACAATAAATTGATGATAATTGAAACCATTTCAATTTTGTGAATCAATTAATATTGAATGTATTCAAATTAGCTTACCTTCTGGTTCATCTTCTGGTTCCACAACCTCTTCTTCGTCGGATCTAACTTCTTCAGCTTCGTCAGCTTTATCGTCTCCATCTTCTGACCTAAATGTGCAAATATGGTAGATACAAAGAAATAAAAACTGAGCATTGTATGAATTACAATTTATCAAGAAAATAAACAAATTCACTACGTACCCGGATCCTGATCTAGAACGTGATCGAGACCTTGAAGGACTCCTAGAAGGTGATCTGGAAGGACTTCTGCTACGAGAAACGCTACGATTTTCTTCCTGTTCGCTTTCACTACCTCTACCACCATGATCACTTTCATTATCGGAAAAATTACTTCCCTCTGATTCAGACATTTTTCTTTTTTTATTTAAATAATCAACTTGTTTAAACTATTATCATAAGAAATATAAACGTTAATGCCACGAATATATTTGCTCAAAATTATATTAATGGAATTCAAAATAAAACAAATACTCTTGAGGTTACGTCCACGTTGATTTTATAAACGTTACTTTTATAACATTTCCTAACAGTACTATTAACTTAACGAAGTGTTTGAATTGCCAGGAGTACCAACAGCATTATCGAGAAAAATCGCTCAACAATTCTAATGTGGCGCCACTAGTCAGTCACAAGGAAACATAAGCGCGCCCTCTTTTCTTTAAAGTAGCTCACATTTCTGGTCGTTAAGGGACACCACTAGTGTGAAATGTTGAAAAAATTGATTTTTTGCATATTTCGATAGTCTATATCTTTAAAAATAACATACTAATATTTCAAATGCATATCTCAAATAGTTTTTGAGTTTGTGTCGTCTCAGCCAACTCCCGTTAGTAACGTCAGATGGCAGCTCGATCGACATAGAGGGCATCACGAGCGCCAGAGGTAACGGCATAACCACTAGAGGAGCGGACGCGCTAGTTCATGTATTAGCCCGCTGTAGATAAGTAGATTCCTACTACATATTTTATTTCCTTATTATTTTATATTAATATATATTATTCCTACTACAGAATTTTTAGTTCTTTTGTGAACTTTTAATGTATATATTTATACAATAATGATTTTTAGTGTTTTATTTTTATGTAAAAATAATATTTTATAGTTCTTTATAATACAGCGTACTTTTTGTCTCCAGCATTAAATTCTGTGTTTCGATAAAAAATACCACAAAAACTATCAATCTAGCAACTCTATGATGTATAAAAAACGGGAACCTATGTTTGGATTTGATGTCATTACTTTTGTTTTATAAAACCATTTTAATAATCTACAAAAGGATTCTTAAGACCTTCTATTTCGTTAATGCATATTTGACTCTCTCTTTTTATCACTGAAAGGAGTGCGCTATAGTTGTTTTTCTTAGACGTTTATGAAACTTAATAAATTTATATGGGTTCGTTAGGGCTACAGACATTGTATAAATATATTACTGTTATTATAATATATATTAAAAGTTATTAATTGTTCATACTTAATAATTGCTTTTTGATGGATTCTTTATTGAGTTAGAGGATAACATAAATATACATTACTTCAAGTTTCAATAAAAATATCTTAATTAGTTAAATACAATTCATTTTTAATTCATTTGGTAACATGAATACAAGATGATGCAATGCAATGAATATATAATGACATTATTAGATTATGAATAATATATATATATAGATATATATATATTAACAAGAACATTGTGATATAATGTTTTTTAGTGCACAACTATTCCATAGTTAAGAATATCATGTACAGTGTTAATAAGAAAATATCATCTGTAAGCTGTTCGACTAGTTAAAAAAATACATCATTCGTTGTTTAACATTCTTGCAATTGATCATTATTTTAATTTTGCTTATACGCTTATGTTATTAACATTTTGAATGAATCACAATTGGCAATATATATCTTTTTGTAAATATCAAAACTGATTGCAAATATAAAATATTCCTTTAAAAAAAAAAAATAATAATAATAATAATAATAATAATAACGGTAACAAAAAAGAAATTTGTAATCCAAATTACGAATTATGATATCTTAATAAAATAGATAGAGATGAACTACAAAAAGCAAATGCTATACTTTTTTCATTCTGTGGTAAATAATGTTTCTTGGAAAAAAAGGAAAATAAAAAAGAATTAATAATAAGTAATATAATATATAAATAGACGCATAGCATAACAAATCAATGTATTGATAAAGTAATAATTTGAAAGGTATACAGCATCAGGTGTTTAAATTTTTGTTAGATAGACTATAGTGTTTGAAAAGTATCAAAAATCATAATAGACTAGTAATTATCACCCCTTTATAATAGTTTATATAAGATGCCATATTTAGCATAGAATTTTTGCAAATATTTTAAAACATTATTGTCAATTAGTTATGCTCATCATGATCCTGTATCAGATTTTGGAGCAGTAGATGCAGGTTTATTGGATGTAGAAGTTTTAACTTTCCTTTTTGGGGGAACTGGTACATCGGAATTATCAGGCGGTGGAGTTTCAGGAATAGATGTATCAGTTTCTAAACTTGACGAAGATTTTGTTATTTTCTTTGTGCTTTTTCCAGTCTTTTTAGGTTTATCAGTAGAACTAGAGCATTCTCCGCCTTCTTCCTGACTTTCTTTTGGCTTCTTCACAACCTTTTTAACGACTTTTTTTGCAGTCTTCTTTTCTGTAGTTTCAGTATCAGCTCGTTCCGCTGAATCACTTTCTACACTTGCTTTTTTAGCAACCTTTTTTGTAGTTTTTTTAGCAGTCTTTCCTTGGCCTTCTACATCTTGTGTACCGACATCTATAGGACTAGTTGGAGGAGTAGGTTCTGTTACAGTTGGTGTAGAAGGTATAGATATTTCTTTTGTTCTAGTAGGCCTAATTGGACATTCTATTGGCGTTGACTCCAAAGAAGAAGGCTCTAAAGTTTTTTCCACTACTGCTGCAGCTCCTTCGACAATTGTTTGCGCATCTTCCGGTTGTTCTACCTTTGATTCTGTTGAAGTACTTTGACCTTCTGTTTCTTTCTTTGTTTCAACATTTTCACTTCTTTCTTCTTGTTTAATTTGTGAACTCTCCGTTAGACTCAACTGTTCACTTAATATTTCAGTCTTTTGTGGTTGGCTTTCTTCTACTCGCGGACTTTGAATTTCCTCTACTACTTGTTTGAGTACAGATGGTGTTAATAACGAATCGCTTTCATCTAATTTCATCGTTGACCCATTAACAACAGTATCTCCATTTTGACTTATAGTTGAAGTTGTATTTGGACTTATTATATTAGCAGCTTCGTTCGATGATACTAATAAAGTTGAATCGCATAATTGCGTTCTATTAGTTAATTCAACTGGTGTTTCAGAAAAAGCTACTACAGATTCTTGAAGAGGTGCAACTGTAGAGGAAATTACTTCTTCTGTTATTAATTTTAGATCTTGCGAAACAGATTCTTTCGGCTCAGCTTGTAAAACTGATTCCGCTACTTGTATTGGTACAGGATTAGTAAGCATAATTTCAGAAGCACACACAGAAGAACATTTTGTATCTTGTTCAATAGTCGATTCTTCTACTTTGTCTACATTTGTTTGAATATCAACGTTTTCCTCTTCCACTGTTTTTCTATTTAATTCTTCTTTAACAATAACGTCTTGTATCGGATCTATTAATAAATTTTCTTTCAAAATCATCGTTTGATCAGAAGATAGGGAAGGTAAATCTGTTTCTTTGGTAGTTTGTGTTAAACATAATTCTGCATCTGCTTCAGAAATTTCTTTTGATTCTTTTGAATCGACTTCTTCGCATACGGAGGAACTTTGTTTATCAATATCAATAGATTCATCTTTTGTAAGCATTTCAAATGTATCAATAGATTCTTTTTGTGAAATATCATCCTTAGGAATATTACAAATCAAAGATTGTTTTACGCTCAGATCACTAGTTGTTTCAGCTAAAGAAAACATAAATAATTAACATAAATTTACATGAGTTTTATCTTTTGGTTTACAGAAAAGTAGATTTTTGGTTTTATATATTATAACCATTTTATCTTTAAATTTAATAATTTTTTGTTTACTAATTATAAGTTCTTTTTATACAAGATGGTCCATAAGTCAATTAACAAAAATGCATTATTATTGTATGTATTAATATTGTAATAATTTGTAACAAAACTTATATTTCTGTATTGAATAGATTTTATTTTTGCATTGAGAAAATGAAGCAGAACACTTTCAGCATTTAATATAAGTTAGTAAAATGTTATTGCAGTTTTTTCTTTTATATTAAATGTTATTTGTATGACTTTAAGAATGTAAATATTAAACCTGTTTACAATAATAATGTATTTTTGTCAGCTGACTTATGGGCCATCCTGTATAATACGTTCTAATAACTACTTTTCTGTAATTCTGATTTGTGTATGTATATGTGCAAAAATAGTAGTCTATTGATAAAATAATACAAATTTATTAATATTTTTTATTAATTATTGAAAAGCCTATGATACTGATTCATGAGAATGAAATAATGAATGATTATTGAAAATATTTATTTAAATAATAATAATAATAATAATAATAATAATAAATGTTATATTGAAGCATATGAAGCATGAAACAATGTGTGGATTTAATTTTTGTTTTTGTTTTTAGAATATAGTAAATATTTAGTATGTTAAAATTAAGCAGCACTGTTTATCGACTACTTTGCTTTTTCCATTTAAATTAAAAGCTAATTAAGTAAGCATTTTAAATAACGTGCTGTTATTAAAAAAATATGAAAATTACTATTTGCGCTGTTTTCATACTCCCATAGCACATTTATGATGATATTTTTAAGCAGCTTTTTTGTTTATGAAAAAAATTATGAAATAAATATGAATATTTATGATTTAGGAATAAAAAATGTACAAAATTAAATATGAAAAATGAATGTATATATTACATAAGGCCAACATTGTTGTCACGATTAGTGTGAGCACTTGGAATATTTACCCCAGTAAAGCATAACGACAAAACAAGACGCAGCAATGCTATGGTGCCATGGTCTGTTAGTTGCTGTCCTCTGTTCCTGTTTTAAACACTCAAACTTGATTAATTGTATTACAATCCATTCTTCGTTTTTTACTTCTTTGATCAATCAAAACAAAATATAAGCCTTACAAATCAATATTCAAAGTATCTTGTTTCTCCTCTATATACTATATTTATATATTCCGTAATATATTTCTCTTTATTATTTTTGTCAATTTTTATAGCACATGCTGTATTAAATAGAAATAAAGAAACAAACAGAAAGGCAAAGCATATTTGAAACAACTGTTAATGATATCAATTACGAGCGTATTCAAAATTTCATTGCAATTATCTTTATGCCTTCGTTCATGCAACTTCTTTTTCGTTGTACCATGTTGTTTTTTTTTTCTTTTTAAAAATCCCGATAAATCAATCAATTTTATATAATAATCGATTATTATCATACTTTAATATAAAAAATTTTAATATATTATATTTACTTTTGTATTTTATATTTAATTCTTATACCTATAAATATAAAGTAAAATTATTCTAAATATTGAATGTACCTTTTGCTGGACTTTTAATATCATCGCTGCCTTCAGACTTAGACACAGAATCGGTTTCTTTTTTAGTTATATTTGTTTCTTCTGTTTTATCAGTTTTTACTTCATCCTAAAAGCAGTATACGTAAGATATATAATATTCGTTAGCACAACAAAGAGATTTGATTTTTATAAATAATATATGCTTACCTGAGTGGTTGTTTTAGGCGGAGAAGGTTGCCTTGAAGCTGAAGAAAGTGTTTCACAAATCTTTTTCCATATATTATCAAAACTGTCGCGACCCATATAATCAATTTGACCTTGTTCCCAACTTTGTTTCCTCATGTGTTCTTCTAAAGCAATTTGTTCTGCACTTCTTGGTTCACCCAATGTCATTTGAGCTAATGCACCAGCAAGACCAGCCTATGAAATTAATTATAAATAATAATTTAAATAATTTCAATGCACCTTTAGCAAATTATTCTAAATAAAGCATATATAAATATATGTGTATTATAAATTATCGGATGCAACATAATAGAAGCGGCATATATTCAAAAGTATTATTGCGAATGTGAAAAATAATTTACACGCTATGTTTTAATTCTTATGTATATACATGTGTATTATTATAGAATATTATATGGATAATAACGTCAAGTGCATAATATAATAATTAATAGAGTATACAAGAATTTACAAACATTTATAAGCTTTTTTACAATTACGGAATGCAGGTATCATCAGTTAGTAGCATAATAATTAAAAATTAAGCATTATTTATGCTTTTTGATGAAATATACGCTATAATTATATTTGTTAAATTATTTATTATTATTCGTTGTAATTTGTCAATGATTTATTATGTCTACTAAGTAGTTTTTCAACTATTGAAACTCGTATATCACACACAACAAACAATCATTGTGAACAAATATTCACTAGATTTAAGACATTGACGAATTACACTCCATAATATATTTCCGTTTAATTTATTATTATGATTAATTTTTAAATAATACCCAATACTGCCTAAGACCCAAAATTTATTTAAAAGCTACTCTACGTCAAAACGATTTTTTCTTTTCTTTTCTTTTTTTTATGTATTTCTTATTTTTTTTCGGTGATTTTAATATATTACAAAGATATTACCCCAACCACGTATTAACTAATTTTATTTTGTTAAAAAGAAGTTTCTAGGATATATTCGGATAAGGTTACCAATTTCTTTTTTTTTGTACTTGTTTCTAGTTTAATTTAGGAGAACAAGTATGGGAACAAAGTTACTTACATTTGAACTGTCTAGATGTCCTGTTAAATTCAGGTCAGATTGCGTTGCTACATTGTGGAGATCTGTACAGGGTTCAGAGGAAGGATGGGATATCAATTTCTGTTCGTCTGTCTGTTTATCTATGATATTACTAGAATAATTATTTTGCTCGTTAACTATTGTCTCAGTAGTCTTATGTCCACTGTTATGCGTACTGTCGTGACTAGGTTGAATAAAGTCTGTCGTCTGGTGTATGTTATGTTGATAATGTCTTTCTTTTTGTTCTTCCTGATTTGATTCTTTTTGTTCGTGATAATGTTGTTGTTGCTGTTGATGATGTGAGGTATTAGATTCTTGTTGTTGATTAATATGATATGCGTGTTGATTATGAATTTCATGTTTAATATGAAAATCAACATGACTATTGTCAGATGTGAATTTCTGATCATTTTCATTAGTTTCATATCGAAATTCCAAATGATGCTGATGTTGTTCTTGCTCGTGCCGTTCTTGAACATGTTGGTGCACATCAGTGTGTATGCGTGACGTATGTTGATATTGATCATCACTTTTCCAATGATGTTGTTCTGATTCTCTAGAATAATTTTGTTCATAATTATCTTTCGAATATAAATGAGTTAAATCATCATGTTTCTTATGCTCGCTGATTGATAATACATTCCCATCATTTCTGTTATACTCTACGGAATGTAGATTAGTCGAACATTCATCGTAATTAACAGGATGAAATTGATTAGAATCTTGAGAAGGTGGCTTGTGGTAACTATGATCCACGGTTTCTTCGTACACGCAATGATGATGATTTCCACTTAACGGAAATTCAGATATTTGATTATTATCGTAAAAGTATTGAACATTTTCAGTGCTTTCTTTATTCTTATCCATGAAGACAGTTTCAGTTTTTTTCCAAGAATAATTTTCCCAAGGATCTTGAAATTCTGAGAAGTCTGGTGTTTTTGAGCAAACGTCACTGTACGATGATTTATAGTTCGTGTCATTGTAAATAGGATTGTTTGATGGAATAAAGGATACGAAAGATAAAGGAGTAATATCGTGCCAAATTGGTGCCAATGTGCTGGTTGCCTATGCAAGCATCATGCCAAAACAGAAAAATGCACACTCAATTGGTTAGTGATGAACTAATGTGGCAGTGTCCATTTTTCTTAAAAAGTGCCAAATAACAAATTTTATATTCCCATAATTAATATATATATATATGTAAAATATAATTCGTTCCGCACGATAAAATAATATAAATTTCTATCGAACTAATCTATATTACTATCTAACTATCTGTATATTATATTACATACACACTATTAATATTGTGCATTATATGTAAATGACAATTCTTATTCTATATGTTAATATAATTCGTTGCAATTACATGTACAATCATAATTACTTGGACTAGATAACATTAAGAAAAAAAGTAATTAAAAACCTAAATTTATTAATGCCACACTAGATTACCATAATCATGCTTAATCCATTCGTTTTTAACATAAGTATTATAAATAGATATATAAATCTTTTTATTATCTTGCGATAGCATACAAATGTCGTTGGACGAATGGATTAATGGGATAGAAATAAAATTAAGAGAAAAAGAAAAAAAATAGACACTGTCCAATGTTTATGATATAAAAAAAATAATACGAACGAAAAAGAAGAAGAAAAAAAAAAAAGGAAAGAAAAAATGTTTATAAGGCATATTAAAAGCTGTATATAGCAAATATTATCATGGGTTAGCACTATGAATAAACACAATAATGATTTCGTATGTGTTTTTTTTTTTTTTTTTTGAGAAAACAATTATTTCGATAAAACAATTATATATCAATACAGCTGTTAATATGATTAGTGGAAAATATGTATATATATATATATATATATTACAAGAAAATATACAGAAAATAATGTAGCGTGAATTTTGAATTGTAATAATTAAAAACACACGAAATTAAAAAAAATGTTAGAGTTCAAGCTACATTAGAGATCTGTATATTAAATTTCATTTTATAAGCAAAATATAGATGCAAAATAATAAAAATAATAAAAATTAATCTATTTAGCACATCAAGGTGTAACAGCCTCGACAAAAGTTGGTCAAAAGTTTCTAAGTGATCATAAAAATTAATTAATTTTCACTATATCTTGTTAAGTAATTTTGGGAATTTTTAACCAGTTAGCTATGACGACTTTGAAAAGTGTGTAGCTAAATTGCGTCGCCAAAATGAAACACAAGCTATTATATTATTGAATTAAGTTGTAATCTAATGACAGTTTTGTTTTCTTTATATAAAATAAATAATGTTATAATTAACATTTATTACAAAAAATCAATTACTTAGAAAAATGAATATTTGAAAATTGAATTTGCTGTTGTTGAATGATACTGAGTAAAATAAGGTACAAAACACAATGACCTTTCGCAAATCGAACACTAATATTTTTATTCCTTCCGAATATTATTCGTATAGAAGGAAGGAATTAATATTAAAGAATTATTTAGAAACTTGTGACCTATTCAAATATATAATATCTATATAAATTATATATAAAAAAAAAAATATATTTACATTACTAAAAAGCACATAATCACATCATTTTTGTTTTTCTTACGTTTTTCCAAGGAATCCCGTAAAAATTTTCTAAAAAGCATTTTTCTTTACTCGAAGTACGATCATAAGCTATATCATATACTATATATATATGTCTAAATAATCTACGATGCACGCTAATAAATATTTTGAAAAAAAAAAAAATATATATATATTTAATACTACAAGAGCATCTAAGAATTTAAAAAAAGCAATGATCTTGATCTATTTCTTACCTCTTCATTAATCTTACTTGAATTCAATTGGTCATTGCTTTGCTTGGAAAATTAATGGATGGATAAACAAGCGATACGAGGTGTGATTTATGTACGTCGACAACATAAGAATTTTTTGTCATTCACAAAAATCGTACTTTTTCTTTCTCCCTTTCTCCCTCTCCCTTTCTCCTTTTTTTACCCCATTTAAAGTTCACTCAACGATTATCTTTTATTAATATTTTGTGTGCGTGCAAGACAGCTTAATGTTTCGTTTCGAACGTTCATAAAAGGAAAGAAAGAAAAAACGTGTCTAAATATCTTTTCTCTTCTTTTTCTTCATATTTTTCTTTTCATTTAATTTCTTTTTTTATTTTTAAATTAATATACGTCATAGCGATAAGAAAAAAATTTACAAACGTAACGTAAATTATCTACTTGAAAATATTTATCGCTCTTTTAAAAAAAAAACAGAAAAAGAAAACATAAATTAACTCGACCTTTTATGTGCTTGCGAATAGATACGTATTCATAATATTCATAATATATATAATATATATAGATATCTCTCTAAAAAAAAAAAAAAAAAGGAAAAAACAAAAAATGATCGTTCGTTATTTGCTACACGTGAAATTTAGAAAAGCATTTTCAAAAAAAGAAAGAGAAATAAAAATAAAAAATACACTCAACACGTTCGTAACAATTCGAACTTACCATAACAGGTGATAACTGCGGATGCACTTTGTCGCAAAAGATATTCCACCACAATTGCAGCAATGGTTGCAAATGGTTCATACCTGATGGTGGCTGTACGATACCAGTCAAAGTATCAAAATACTGTAACCATGGTTTTGTGATTCCGATGAAGTGTATTATTCTAACATCCTCGCCAAATCTAAATATAAAAACTAATGAAGTTTGCAAACCATACGTCAAATGAAAATAAATAAAGAAAGAAAAAAGTAAATAAATACAAAAAGCTAGAAAGAAAAATGTTAAAGTAAATCTTACTGTTTAAAAGCGGGAAGATAAGAATAGGCTGCCGTAGAGCACATATTGTAGATGAATGGTAAATGTTTCGATATGTCCTTTCGTGCCCAATCATGAAAGTACATATTTAATAAGCCTTGATCGCCCCCATCAAAAGAACCCTTAGCTGCTGCAAAGGCAGTAATAGAAGCGAACGTTTGTTGAGACGGTCTAAACACGAATACACCGGAATTAAAACAATCTGGCCAGCCAATGTCGTGAGCAGCTGATAATTCTTCACGTTCGAATAACTCGTCACAGTTTCTTACGACCTGAAAAATTCATTCCATTAATTTAAAAGTAATAAAAAAAAAAAAGACATAAATAAATGAAACAAAATATTAAAAAAAAGAAACAAAAAAAGGATTTCTCTTTCTCTTTCTGTGTTATTTGTCATTAATTAATGCAATCAATTTTTTAATATAATATCTGAAATTAATTGCATCGTTTCAAGAGAAAAAAATAAATAAATGAAGAATGATCAAAAATAAAGAAAAAGGAATAAAAGATAGAATTTTTTTCATCGAGTACCTTGACATATTAATATCTATCTGTTACTCACAAGCGTATCAGCGTCTACAAACACGCATTTTTCATATTGAGTTAGCCTCCAACAATGTAATTTCGTAAATGTGATACCCAACTCTGGCCTTGCCAAAAGTGCCAGATTAGCTTCATCTTTCGAATCGAGAACGTTTACTTCCTGTACCAAATTGAATACGGCTGCCAATTTTTCTCTAAGAAATAAAATGAAGAAATTTTATCATAAGAGTATAAGTTCTTATCATTAAAAAAGAAAAAAAGGAACGAAAGAAAATGAAAATAGAATAAAAAAAAAAGGACAATGTACCTCATCATACTCGTAACTCCTGGAGTGACTAAAACTGCTAGCTCGTATTTGGTATCAACTCGGCGCAAAGAATGCGCCAATACCAATGCTCCCAAAGAATAGGCATCGTTTGTGGCCAATGTTACCCAAGCATATCCTAAACAAACGCATAAAATTAATTAATATTTTTTACAACAATAAAGAAAAGATATGTTGAACAAATTGCAAGTTATACGCCACGTTTATAAAATGTCAATTAAATGATCCTTCATGTGCACACAAATTAACTTGATAGGTGGGATAACGCCGAAATTCATGAATCAATTTATTCCCCTTGCATAATCTTTCTGAGAGAGAGAGAGAGAGAGAATGATAATGGGTTGAGAAATTATGTCAACGAGATTTGTCCGAGTTCACAATGTTATCGTTCTCAAAGATATACGAGTTATTACAAAAGTGCACTCTCTTTCCCTTCATACTTTTTCGAATTTTTTTTTTGCAACTATTTTAAACTCACAGGTATATTTATTCATGTATTTTTTTTTTTTTTACATATCAATGCACAGTTACAAAGAACGAAACGTTTTAATCTTTTCAAGGCTTTTGGGACAAATGTGAACATTTAAATCTTATCGAAAATTAATAAGTTACGAAGATGAATGTATAATTTTGATTAAATTTTCTAACCAGTAAATAAATTTCAATTGATTTTTTTTATACATTACAAATAAAATAAAATAAAAAAAAAAAAAACAATTTATACTATTAATAAAAGATTTGTTCTTGAAGAGATTAAATTCTCAAGGAGTACATCAAAATTTATAAGATTATAAAATTTGAAGAGGATTTAACAAATCTCTCAAAGTTAAATTATAAAATTAATGGAATGCGAAGAAAAAGAAGAAGAAGAAGAAGAGGAAGAGGAGAATGGAAAAGGTGATTTTAAACACTCCTAGAGAAGTTGGCACTTATCCGAGAGCGAAAATATATATTTAGATATTCTCCTAATCGTCTTCCATAGAAGTTTAACTATTGTGAAAATATTATATATCTTTCTTCCCTGTGTTCGTCGAATATGTTTTTAATACCTTTTTACATACATATATTTTTTCTACTCGTTCTAATAGTTTTTTCCTTCTTCGATATCTCTATTTTTTATCGAACAACAAAAAACAAACAAAAAATTTATATTATCGGTGGAATACTCCAAGAGTAGACGTTCGTGACGTTAAGTACGAATGGTTTTGACAATGCTTTTCTCTCTCTCTCTCTCTCTCTCTCTCTCTCTCTCTCTCTCTCTCTTTCTCTCGAATATCAAAAAGAAATTCAATAATAGATGCGAACGATATCATCGATTGTCAATATGAAACACCCCATCGGTCTTTTGATTCTTTCGTCTAGACAATCGTATTTCTTCTTTTTACTGTGAACGAAAAAAGAAGAAGAAAAATAAAACAGGAAATAATAAGAAGTATTAATGTTAGACGATTTATCGAATGAGCAAGTATCCTCGTTACGCTTGACAAAAAACTTATATTTGCAAGATAAAATTGTTGGCACAAGATTTAACATAGCATAAGGTTTAACATGGCACAAAATTTAAAACATGGACTCCGGTTATTTAGCAAGGAATCTACAACGTTATATACCACAGCTGTTTCTAGTCGATTTATTGAGTAATCAGGTATCTCTAATTAGATATCTGGATAAGTGAATAATAACCAGTTCTAGTTGATTCGAATAATCTGCCTTTGTAAGCCGGATGTATTTTCGATAGTTTAAATTTTCAAAATAATTTTCTCATGGTTCAAAAGAATATAAGAAAAATAGATTTTTTTTACCTGACCCCAGCATGTAACCGAATAACTGAACAATAGTCAGGTATATTTGATTCTAATGATCTGCCTCTATAATCTGGATTTTTACAATGACTTGGATCGTTTATATTGTCAAAATAATGTTAAGTGGGTTCAACAGAATAGAAAAAATCAAGATATTTCTATCAGACTTGTTGGGTTCCCATGTAAATGAACAATAGCCAGATATGTTTGACTTTAATAATTTACTCTTTGTAATCCAGATGTTTGCAATGTTTCAGTTAGTTTATATTTTCACAATAAAATACGTACGTCATAAGATGCTACTAATATCTTAGTCATGAAGAGTATGTTTAATCCTCTAACAATAGCAAACTACGTAAGTTCGTAAGTAACGTGGTCCATATTAATGCGTACAGTATATAAATATAATTATAAATCATAATATTACAATTATTTATATTAGAAAATAAATTATAAAATCAATTTTTAATATTTTTTTTTTTACATTTATAAACCATCGTCATAATTATATATTCACAAATACGAGTGTTTGAAATTTTGGTATTTCAATTTTTTTTCTGACTTTTTTTTTTAAAAGAACATCGCAAAAGAATACACTCACTTTATTTATAACGAACATCTATTTCTATTTTGCGAGCGTTCATGAAGCGCTACGCAGGCGGATTATCGCAAAATTTGGCCACCGTCCGTTCGTTCTTCGTAATAAAAAGCGATCTAATATTAGACACTTTTATGTATGTTTGTATGGATGTGTGTAGATACTCGAAAGATATCCCGAAGAAATGGCGAATCTTTGAAAAACACGAGACGACGAAATTCGATGCAAATTCCAAACGTTCGTGAATAAAGAGAGCGTAACGTAGAATCTGTCGAAAGTAACGCGTTTACGCTTGAAATAGTATATCTACAACAGGATATAATCAGGTGACCTAAATCCTAATAGTTTTTCTTTTTTTTCTCGTTTTTTTATCCTTTTTTCTTAAAAATAATGAAAATTTATATAACAATAATAATAATAATATTCCTCTTCAGTAAACAAAGTAAAATTACACGTAGTAGAATAAATGCAAGAGTATCGGATAAACAACCTTGCAAAGACTCGTTACGTTATCGATTAACACCGATTAATTAACGTTCCTCCTATTACGACACGTTTAATAAAGATCAGTCTACCTGCAAATTAAGATCAACGATTATGTATGTTAAAATAAGTTAATATTAGAATACATTTAGTTAGTTAGATATGAATCTCTTTTTCGTCAAGACGTATTAAAAAATGAATACGTTGTAGTGATGTACAAATAACGTTTTGATAACCTTTTGAACAAGGAAGAATTTCATAAATGGCGGACGTGCCAGAAAAATAATTCATCTTCTTGGCTACTTTACGAATTTTTAAATTTGCGAAACGTTTTCTTCGCCAACACTTTATTTCAAATGATGAACATTTCTTTTGGATCGTATTTTTATATTTATATATATAATAATTTTATATAATTGCAGTTAATTTATTACCTTTGTTTATCTATTATACAAGGTAAAAAAATATTTAAATAGATAAATGTTAATTTTCCCTTATACACATAATTACTAAAAATTTGGCGTTGTTTATAATAATAATAATAATAATAATAATGATATAAAAACAGTTATAATTACATTTTATTTCTTATGACAAAACACAGCAAGAATTTCATGGAAGATTCATTCAAATTGCGTAATATTTAAACAAAAAAATTATATGGGACCCTTATTTAATCCATTTAAACCTAAAACTAATTAGATCAAAATTTTATGGAATTTTTCATTACAATTAATTATATAATTAAAAATGTTTGAAAATCATGAGAAACATATAATAACAAAATAATGTATATAAGAATTGCTGGGAATCGCCCATTCCATTTATGGTCCAGCAAACTTATACAAATTTAAAATTTGAAAAACTACATCAGTAAATTATGTTTAATGAACTGTATCATTTATGATAAGACAGATCTTAATGAGTTAATTAACAATTGAAGAATTGCAACTTTACTTGATTGAGAAAAAGAAATGGGGAAATGGAATAAAAGACAACAATAAATTGATCTAACTCACAATCAAAGAAAAGCGTCAGAAGATATTCGCATTTACAACTCTTGAATTTGTTTGAACGAACGTTTGCCAAAACGCTTTTGGAATGATTTTCATGGAACGAAGGTCGTATTACACGATCTTTTAACAACATTCTAATGATATTATACGTGCGAATAGATTTGACGTATTTTCTAAAATAGTAGGCGGTTAGATTTGCTATCCAAAGTGAAAGATTTTGTCTTTGCAGAGTTGTACAGAAAAGATTGAGACTAAATAAATGCCAAGGAATAATTATGAGTCAGAAAGCGTCGTTGAGAGAAAGACAAACAGAGACAGAGATAGAAAAAGAGAAAGAGAAAGAGAAGGAAAACATAAGCAGTACACTAAGGGTGATTCTTGAAGATCATATTTCTACCGGTGATGTTTCTTAAGAAAGATCGGAAGTTCTTGTCTCTCAACTTTGTAATCTCATAACCACACTTTGCAAGATTTTACAAATATTTTAAATAAAAATCATCTCCTTTTCTATATATCTCTTTTTTATTTCGTTTAATTTTCTAATCATAACAATTAAAAATTATGTTGATTAAATTGAAGATCAATTTATGTTGAGTTAGTTAATTTAAAAATAATTTTAAAAATAAGTTCAACACGGTATGGATCTTTATAATTTTGTAATTTTTATTATGCAAAATGTTTCCAATTTATAGAAAACTGATATTTATTGGATTAGGGTTCTTAAATATGTCTCATCAGTTTTTTAAATAGATGATTGTTAGTATTTATAATGAAATATCGGTAAAATCACAAAATACAATTTAATATTGACGCTTAATTATTTATAATGAAACACAATATTTATATTCCTGTATAACTTGGTCAAATTAAATAAACACATAAATATGTTTCAATCAATTTCTTTAATATGAAAATGTAAATGTAATTGTATCAATAACCGTTGCTATGAATTTCTGAAAACTTTTGATTTATTAGAGAATTTTTTATCGGCCATGGAACCAAGGACTTTAGATGCCATGATAGCTTTTAAAAATAGTCTATCTTTTCTCCCAGGGAAAGAGAAAGAACGATAAAGGCAAAAAGAGAGAGAGAGAGAAAGAGAACTACGAAGATATAGTCTCGCCATGGATATACACATATTATGATATGGAGACGAAACCCGAGAGGCAGAGTACCAGCCGTCGTTTTCTACCACACAGAAAATGGTTTATATTTATACGGGCAGGATGGCTTATAATAGCAAAGCGGCCTCACATTTGTACGAAATGCAATTCATATACTTTGCCTTAGGTCAAGCACTCGTTTAACTCTCTCTTTCTCCCTCTCTCCCTCTCTCTTTCTCTCATTTTATTTCTCAGCTCCAGACAGGCTTCCTTATAAGATAGTTCTCCCCTTGTCTACCATTCCTAGATCTAACGAGACATACACAAATACCAAAAAATCGAACTGTCTTTGCTATGAGTGATTGTATATAAAGGATAAAAGGGATAAAACATATTTAGTAATATTATATACAATATACAGATTCTTATTTTCTTTTAAATAGATCGTACGTTCTTGTTCTTTTTATCCCTGAAACTTAATTGGAATTTTGAGAGTACTCAAGAAACAAGAAAATAGATAAATAGATAGAGAAGAGTCTAAACAAAAGGTGGGAAAATTCTTCGATAATAAGAATCATATATAATACTTTGCATATATTTTGGAATCCCGAAAAGCCGCAAAAACTCTAACCAATAGAGTACAAAAATAATTCGAATACATAATGGATGTTTAAGAAGATTATGTAAATAAACCATTTATATATCAAAAATATTCTCTAAATATTGATACATATTATAATAATACTAAAATTTATAATTAATACAAAAGTTTAGATAAAAATAGCAATGAAATCTCATATTAAGTCTCGATTTGTCCAGAGTTCATCTAACAATAAGCCAATATTATCAAATTCACATTTGAATACGAGCCAGCAAATTTAATTAAAGAGAATTTACAATCTGTAGATAAAAAAGAAAAGTAATTTTATCCTAAAAAATGTTAGCAAGCTAAAAAAAAAGATCAAATGACGCTTCAAGCTTTGAGACATCACTGCTGAAGTAAACAACAAAATAGAATTTGCATATTTGAGGTCAATGTTAGAGTAAATGGTAAAAATGAATTTATTCGTTTGATAACAGGATTGGAATTTTACAAGCGAAATGTTTGACACCACTGCTGAAATAAATAGTAAAATAAAATTTGATCGATAGGAGTATAACAGAGTTTTACAAGCCACGTGTTTAACTCTATTAATCTAAGCTAATTATCGATCGAACCCTTGTACAAATATAGAACTGATTTAAAAAAGAAAATAGTATTCCTCGTATATAAAAGTAGAAAATACAGTAAGAGAATAGACACGTGTGCCAGGGACGACAGACTGTCTCATACCAAAAGACTCCAAGTGCTGATCTTAACCGAGACAAGTTCGACCTTGCGTGAAAGCAACGCCAGTCCGGTAGGTACGTACGTATGTATATATCGTTGTATCGGCCAAAGGAAGGGTTAACGAACCTCGTTGCTCGTAAAACAAGCTCGAAATATTTAGCGGAAGAAGATTGAGAAGAGCATATATCTCAAGAAGTAACGCTCGTAACTTGTAACTCGATGCTTTCTTCCTATAACTGTAAGACATCGTTCTTGGATATGTATGATTGTATATATGTATGCGCGCGTGCGCGCGTATATGTGGGTGTGTGTGTGCATATGATGTTAATTCTTGCCGAATTGTAATTATTTAAACGCCTGTATAACAATTTATCATAGTTAAACTCGCATCACGTTTGTCGATGATATTAAACGTTGGTGATTTCATCAGAAAAGGATGGTTTGTTTACTGCCGTTGACTTTTTGATCAATCGATCGAGTTATACTTATTGTTAGATAGATCAGTATCGTCTTCCTTCTCGAATGCTTACGAAATCTAACCTATCGTATGTTTAAAAAGATTTCTCAGAGGATATATCAATTACAGTCTATATAATCGCATGTTATTCGATAAGCTCATTGTATGGATCATACGACGTAGTATCGTACTATCGAGAAATATCTACTATACAAATAAGTATTAATATTGGATTTAAAAATGATGAAGAGTTCGATATGAAAATTGTGTTTCAAACAATACGGTTTAATTTTGTTTTTTGTTTTCTTTCAATATCGAACAATATAGATATTTATGATAATTAGAATGAACAACAACAATAAAATATTAATCTATTAATTGTTTATTATCAATCTAATTATTATTGATTACCCATAAAATACGTGCCGATTTATAAATATTTTGTTTTTTCCTTACAGACATATTTTATTTCCTTACATTTTTTTCTAAATCGGCATGAACTTTACGGACAATCAAATATTACAGTAATTGCAACTTATACTTTGAAAAATATTTAAAATATCGGATACAATGTAAGAATTTATGATGGATTTATATATATCTCTTTCTATCGATATTTTTTTTATACATATATATGTATTTATATTTAAAAATTACAAAGCTTTTTTTTATGGGAGGTTAAGTATTCTTTTCTTTTTACATACTCGCGTCGGGGTTGAGAATTTAAAATAGACCAAAGTAAGAAATAAATGCATGCCAAGAACCACGCGGGAGGGGTTTAGAAGGAATAGGAAGGACCTGGAGGGGGGGGGGAGATAGAGATAGAACTAGGATTTTTATGCGCAAATTCTTTTCGGCGCGGTACGAAACAATTTCAGGACGTATCAGAATAAGTATAACAAGAGATCTACGACATTTGGCAAAGAGCCGCAAAGTTTCTCCCTTGGAACAGCCAGGAATAAACTGTCGGAGATACCGTCGAGACGCGGCTTGTGACTTATCTTATTTCATATAAAAGGAACCTCGAGAAAGAGAGAGAAAGTTTTAATTAAAAAAAAAAAAGTAATAATAATAATAAAAGAAAAACTTGCAATTGTTTTATTTTTAAATTTCTTACTATTCCGTGATGAATAAGTTTCTTTTTTTAAATGTTGCACATTAATATTAACATATAAATTTGTAGCAACAATATTCACAATATTTCAAATTTCCAAATTCTTAATTTTACTGTACATGATTGACGGTATTATTATAATAATTAGATATGTAAATATAAAACAAATGCACCATTATAAAAGAAGGTAAAATAATGTAAACAAGTTATAAGTGTATCGTGTAATTGGCTAATGTGAACAGTTTAAAATTTTTAATTGTAATACGGCATTCAATGTTATTGCTAGTTTTCATTTCAATTTCGGACAATTATGATTGCAAATATTATTTTATTATCTATTTAACAATTGGTTTATTTATTACTTATAAACCAATAACCAATTATTACTCTATTAATTTAAAAAAATATAACTTTGGTTAAAAAAAAATCATTTGATTGATTAAACGCGTACAACGACCTATTAAGTAGCCGGTTTTAAATTTATAAATAAATTTCTGCATTTAACGTTATTATCATTTTTCATTTGACTTCACTTTACGATTATAATTATACATTATGTTTACTATCTGCTTTAAATCATAAAAAATAAAACTTTTCTTAAAAACCGGTCATTTGACTGGTTATAGTTAAAAAAAAAAAAAAAGGGTATACCGGCATAAACTGTCTGTAACTTTATTATTAAAACTTCGTTGCGTGCTTCTGCATCCAATAAAGAACTTTTAAGTTCATTCTCCGTGGGGGAAGCATTTAAAAAAAAAGAAAATTGACGAATTTCCCGCCTAATCGGCACGCTACAGTATGAAGATAATTAAATCGTACGGGAAAAAGAGCGGGAAATGGCGCACGCGCGTTCTTCAATCATTTCTGCTCACGTATCCCTTCCCCTTCAACAAATATAACACGATTCGAAAAGAGAGAGAAAAAGAGAGAGAAAGAAAGAGAAAAAGAGAGCAAGAAAACATATAGAAAAAGAAGAGAAGGAAACGATTGCCGGCGTAAGTAAATATATAAGCAAATAAGTAACTAAAAGTAGATATACTTATTCTCTTGGTAAAGTACGCGTTTTCTAATCAAAAGGATTAGATAGATCAATGTTTCGGCCGTTGGACGATGCTAATCATGTTTGAAAAGGTTATTAGGTCAAGACCGGTTATACCGGCGAGCTTATCGCGTGCCGGTTAGCACAATTCTCTCAATGGAATATAACATAACCTCTCTTTTTCATCTTCTCTAACTTAAATAGAAATTTCTATTCGAATTAAAAATTCGAACAATATTTCCAAATTGTTAACTAAAACTAATAATTATAATTATAATAATAATAATAATTATTATTATAATAATAATAATATAATACTAATAATAATGATGATGATGATGACGATGATGATGATGATAATCATAATAATAATGATAATGATGATAACGATGATGATGATAATGGATGATGATGATAATAGATAATGATGATGATGATGATGATGATGATGATGATGATGATAACATGATAATAGAGATAAAAAAAAAAGAAATAGTAGAAAATAAGAAAAACTTACCGGCCATGATCGCAGAAAATTTTTGAAGAACTCTGTGAGTTTCTCTTCTCTTTTATTCTATCCTTCTCTTTTCTACTTCTTTCTGTTCGTCTAGTTAATGAAATTCGTGGATAAAGAGAGAGACACCGATGTACACACCCACGAGCTGTCGGCCAAAGAAGCCGTAATAAGGATGAAATAATAACGAGAAATACGAATACGTGCACACTCAGCCGACCTCGCGACGCGAGTGATCACGATGAAGTGATGCTCGTATATACTTCTTCTCTAACTCGATCTCTCTTTTCGTCTTCTCTTCCCCACTTTAGCTCTTCCTTTTTCTGTCTCATCTCGCGAAGGACAGAGATCTTAATCTTTTTTACCGATAGAGTAAGCGAACGAACAAATAAACGAACGCACTGGCAACAAGGAATCGAACTTCGATATCTTATTCTCGTATGATCAAAATTAAAAATGATTGGATATTATGAATTATTTTTATTCCACTTTCTTAGAAAATATAAGATAACATAAGCTCATATTTCTTTCTTTCTTTTTTTCTTACATGTTTATGTATTTAAATATCTATGATTCGATAGTCACATCGAGTTAGAAGCAAATCGAATCCCTACAAGAAAAGCTCCAGTTATGAGACCGTATAAAATGGCTTGGTATTAAAATATTTAATAACGACGAAGTCAAAGTATTCAAAGGAGTAGAAAGAAATGAAAATAAATAAGATAAATGTATTTACAACAACGTTGAATATGTTAGTAGAATTGGATTCTAAGGATATGTAGGGATTAATAAAAAAAAAAAAGTAATTTCACGTGAAAGTCAATGCGCAAGGTATGTAATTGAAGGTGGTGGGAAGGATAAAAGGGTGGAGACAGAGGCGACACCTGCCGCTGGAGCATTGCGGCAGACGATGCGTCGTTTCAGTTCCGGTCGTTCCTCGAAAGCGAACGAACATGCGACGTAGAGCGGGAGGTAGTGTTACAGGGGCAGAAGAGGACACGACCGAGGATTCGTTTGGTGTTAGCGCGCGTGACACTAACAATCGTCGAGACATTTGTACAACTAGTCATGGTAAAGAACAGGCCAATTAAAAAATGTAGGCACATTTAACGGGCCAAACGTGCGTGCCCGTTTAAAGCACGACGAATCGATCGTAAAAACGTTGTTAGAAGACATACAACTCTTGTCCTCGTCCTACTCCTCCTTCACCTTCACCTTCTCTTCTTTCATCGTTATTGTCTTCTTCTATTCTTGATTTCCTACTTATTCTTCTCTTTTCGTCTCTTATTTTTATTTTTTTTCTGTCTTTTTCTAACCTCCCCTTATTGTACATCAACGACAACGACGCGACGACGACGACAACAGAGCAAAGGTCCATCGTTCGATATCCGAAAAATGGCCAGCTCACCGAGCAGCATTGAAAATCAGATAGACAGTTTCTTGGAACAGTTCAAGCGTAGTGCATCTCGCGCCATGGAGGAGTCCCACAGGTCCGCTTATAGCAATGCCTGCGGAAGTAGTAACATCAGCCGTAGCAGGAGCGGCAATCTGGACCTCGAACTTCTAGAGGCTGGTGAGTCGCGAATGATATGAACGTTCCCTTTCTTGCCAATGGAACGAACAAACAAGCAACCCCTTTAAAGCATTTCATCCCTTTTACTGATTTTAACTTACTTCTTTCGCTTTAAATTCTTTTCACCCTTCTGTATCCTCTTACATCCTAGTCTCCTGCAATTCTCTCTTTCTTGTTGTTAGGGCGTCAACGACATTATTCTTCGATCATGAATATTTTTATTATTCATTTCACATCGTTTCTTTACTAAATTTTCTTTTTGCATTTGAATATATAACAATCAAAATCATATTTTAAATATCCTGTTATATGTTTAATTTTGTCTTTAATTCATTCGAGCCACTTTTGAGATACTTTGACTCCTAAATTTATATAACTTTTGAATTAAAGGAAAAAAACTTTTATAAAAATGTTACGTCTGTTGCTTTTTTCTAGTTTTTTTTAACTGTTGTAAACTATTAAAAGATATTATCTCTAATACTCTTTCAAGGTATTCGCGCGATAAAGAAAAAATTAATGAGGCTTTTGGAATATCATTTCATATCAACGCGTTTAAAAATTATGACTTCTGCGTAATCGTTACTGTAATAGTTTAAAAAATGAAACGATAATGAATTTTTCCTAGTGATAAATTCTTGACATTCCGATAAGTAAATTTCCGTTTATATTTCGACCTTCTTTTTCACGGTCGCATAATTTTCGCTGAGTAAACGATTAAAAGCCTATAATTAGAAGTTATAAGGTAAGTAATTACTAATAACGGTATAACAAATAGTATTTGCAAAACCTAATGCTAGATAAGAAACCTTAAAAGAAACAATACGTTTAAAAATACGAAAAACTCCGTGTAGAAATATTCCAAAATAAATAACAAAACAAACGATACTTTTGTTAATTTCGAATAACATACACTTTGAACGAAGATGCACATGCCGCACGGCGAGTCACGTGTCAGTATCCACCTTACCCCCGTAGCATAGCTTCAACGTGATTGGTCACGGCTTACGATGCGATATCATGGTGGCGCCGTGCATTTCGGCTTGCATAAATGATACGCAGAAAAAGAAAAAAAAGACAGAAAATAAATGAAATACTCATCCTGTGGGTGCATAAAAAGAAAGAGAGGAAAATAAGAGTATTAAAGCTTTCCACATTGCATTTCTTTTTCGATTTTTTTATTATCAAAAAAATAAAAGAAACGAAAAAATTAAATTGGGAATGTCACAATTGGCCAATAGGCGATCGATTTTTGAGTTAGTGCAAGCGCGCGAAAGGTTGTGGGAGGACGAAGAGAAGAAGGTTGCAAGTCCGTAACTAAAGAGTCGTCGACTCCGGGTGCATCGTTCGAGAAGGGCGGTGAGAGGAAACACCCCTCGTATTATACCCGTTCGTACGTTCGTAAGTTCGTTCGTCCGGTCGTTCGTTTATATACGTTCCTTTACTCGCTCGGTTGCTTCCTCTCTTTATCGATCAAATGAGAAAACGGTATATCCTCATATAGTACTCCTGTGAGCCTCCTTTTGTCGTCGTAAGTCGGCGCGGCATTCGACCGGATTCGTCGTCGTGAAGATCGGTTTAAGCCGACATCAGCAACACTACAGCAGCAGCAGTAGCAGAACAGCGGTAGCAGTTATAGTAGCGTAGACACTAAAAAAAAAAAAAACATAGTAAGAAAAATATAGATAAATAGACGTGAGTTAATCGTCGTCGTAGAGGCAAGATGATACTCCGTCGAAAATCTGTCCATAACTGCAACTGTCCCTGCCATCAACATTGTTCGACGAGATGCGCAGGTTTGAATCATTAGCCGGTTTTCTATCGGAATTTATATTTTTCCTCTCACACCTTATATACACATACATATATACATATATACATACATATATACATACTTTCGTATTACTCTTTAAACTCTGACTGTGTTTGATATTATTCTCTCTTTTTTTTCGTCACTACTTTCTTATCATTCGTCGTTATTAGCTTTTCAATTATTAACATTCTTTGACGCATGAGACAACACTGTGATAAGCACGATAAAGATATATTGATTCATGAGAAAATATAGTAAAAGGTCTTCCATTAATTATTACCTCGATTATTATTTCAGATGACTATTGTAATAAAAGATTCATTAGAAAATGGCGCGATATTTTAAAAATGTTCCATTCCTAAGTAGACTTTTTTATGGACGGGAAAAATGTTTCACGGCTCGTTCCTTTGTTTATTACTATATATAGAGATTGTGCTTAAGTCGTTTCTTTTCTTCTAAAAGTCAATGTACGTCCTGTGTTATTTGTGGACCGTTTTACGTATCATACGACGTACAAGACATGTTTACTCCCGCGAAGAGTGCATGCGGTCTCAAGCCCCTCCTCTCTTGCATCATTATACTCCTTTAGTCGATATGTCAGGGCTGTATCTATAAGGCATTAACACGATTTAATAAAAATACGTATAAGCATACTTTTAACATATAAAACAAAACTAATCGTAATAGTCACCATTTTTATTCTACTTATTTTGATTAATTCGTTTAATGTAATGTACATTAAATATAATCCGTTTCAACGATTACACGGTGTATAACAAAAATATATATCGTTAGCAATTAAAAAATAAAAATAATTACTAATTCTAAGATTCTTATATAACGTAGACGTGGACTATTGAATGCAATTAGCCAGATAATTATAGCTCATTGTTCTAATGTAAAAGGAACTCCACTTAATAATTTCGTATCTTCTCTATACGTACGAAGATTATTTTTCGTATGCTAAAAAGAGAAAGGTAAAAGAAGAAAGAACAACGTGCTTAGCGTATTAAAATCGATCCTTCCTTTATAAACGCCAGACTGATTTTTATTTTACAATAAATTTTTTTACCTATAATAGACTATTTATAATTACTTTATCTTTACACATAAAAAAGAAAAAAAAATATTCAACACTAAATTATTCAACGTAAAATAACTTTATATTTATTTCACTCTTAACATCATTTTTTCCGTATATATTCGTTTAAATACAAAGATGAATAATTGAATACACCACACAATTATATTATTAATTTGATAAGTATTATTTTATATCTTGGGTTCCGATAATAACGAATACGGTCCTGGAGCTTCTTCCCCCTCTCAATTTTTCGTACGAACGAAACGTTCGCCATATCGTCGAACGTACTGTCTAGTAATGTCGATAACATTAAGCGAAAATAGTATTTAAATAGCGTTTTATAAAAGTTAATTTCCGAATATTGTGTGTTATCGATATTAATGAAATTCGAATTAATGGGATATCTACAAAAAGAAACGGTTAAAGGTAAGTAAGATCTTGAATTATCATGTTTAATCAAAGTGAAAATTTGTCAAGAGAAAAGTGTGACAAGCGATATTCGACCTTTTTGCAAATTGATTTTTCGAACACGTTTGTTTAAAGAATTTTGACAAGTGTTTCTTTTTTTTTTAAATGATATACATATATTGTTTTAACGATTGGAATAATTGTTTTACTTGTACACTTTATTTCTATTGAATTGAATATTCCTTATGTTATCATGATATTGTTTCTTTGACATTATAGTTGTAGCAGATAATATTTCCTGTATCAAGAAGAAGAAGAAGAAGAACTGAAGATAATGGAAATTGGTGCAGGAAAATCTGCTTTGACTTGCCAGAGTCAGGTAGTGAATTGTGTAAATAGTAATGAACATGTGGGAGAAGTTGAAGCGAAGAAGGAGGTAAACAGTACAATTATTTTTATTTACAATCGCATATTAATTCGGTGGTAATAATAATTTTAATCTGTTACACTTTATGTCAAATAAATAATTATCATTTATTACATTATTTATATACATCATTAAAAATCATATTTATCTTTAGGTAAAGCAAAAAGTACATTCGAGTACTTCGAAGTCAAAGAAACATATGACTAAAATGAAAACAAAAACGGATTCTAATTATGATCCAACTAAATTAGAGGACAGTCCTAGTCAAGTGTTGGAACGGTTTAAGCATGGTTGTGAATGTCAAGACGATCAATGTTTTAAAGGACTAAATCCTGAAACAGTGTATAAACATAGATTAAATATCGCTGAGTTAACAAAAGCCGAACATGATATGTACTTAATGGGTGTAATTATGGCTTGTTTAACAAATCCTTACGAAACTGCAAGACATACTGAAAGGCGTAGATTAAGAGCTCATTATGTATACCAAGGTAGAAGAGTATGCTTAGATGCTTTTTTATATTTAGAAAATTGTACACATTATCAAATAAAAAGGATTAGAAAGCATTTAATAACTCATGGTGTTACTCCAAGAGTACATGGCAATCATGGAAAAGTTCCACACAATACATTTTCTTTGGATATTTATAAGATAGCTACGAAATTTTTAAAACATTTTATTGAATCTCAGGAAACCAAACAAAAGACTAAACTTTCTAAGAATGCTCCATTACATCTTCCACCAGATATCACTCGAAAAACTGTTCATGATTTGTATACCAAGTATTGTACCAAAGTTTCACCAGATATTAAAATTATGGGATATTCTACGTTTAGAAGATTTATGAAAGTTCAATTTCCGCAAGTTAAATTTGCTAAATTGGAATTCATAGCTAGGTCACAACCTATGCAGAATCATAGTGGTATTACAGTTGAAACGGATAAAAAAAATGTACCTGAGAAACATTCTGAATCAGCAGAAATAGTTACCGAAGATGGTACAATATTGCCTGTAGTCATTTCAAGCGAAGCAGTAGGACAAAATAGTAGCACTTACTTTTTAACACCGGTTAGTAAAACTAAAGATGATATTAGTTATCAAATAACAACCGATGGTTTATTAGTTGACAGGACAACATTACCTATTGCAGTAACTAAAGTAAATGTTGTTTAAAAGTATTACAATTATTGCAAATCGTTTTTTTTTTTTAATATATATAATGATAATGTACCTGTACAAAAGAAATGTTATCCTTATGTATTAAAATATGTAAATAACTTGATATATCTATTGCACATAAATTATTTTTAATTAGTAAAAAAGAAATTGTGTAGGTGGTATTAATCGTTGGAAAACAATTGTATAAATTGGTGAGTTTTTATTTTATAAATTACAATTATAAATATAACAATAAAT